TGAATGCTTAGTAATTTACAAAACATATTTTTCTAGAAAGCATTTGTTATTCATATCCATTTAAATAGCATATGAAATCATTATATTCATTTTATGCAAAATATGCTACAGTTAGTTTGAAGTCAACAATATTATTCCATGTAAGGAACATGAAATTCCTTTCACTTATTTTCTCATTGGAATACTGACTTTGTTTTTAATGATCGTTTTGACTGAACTGACCATCTAAATCTATTGAAACAGCTAATGACTGGTCTTAACTTTGTTCCCTGACCTAATTATTTGAAAGGATCAGTTGGTTTATTAATTGGTTTGGAATATAAAAAAGTTTAAAAAATTTTAAATAGCTCCTATGTTATCTAGATGTGCCATTTACCTTACGGTAACATTAACTTTCAAGATTTTTTTGTAAAATTTGTACTCAGCTTTCTTCTCTGCATCCCTCAGTGCCCAGCAATAGTTCCTCCAGTCAAGTCAGTCAGTCCTGAGCCCTTTTCCACCAACTTCCTTCCACTCACTGTGTTTTTATTTGTAATTTATGTCTCATGTTTTCCTATGTGTTTCTTGTTCTGAAAAGTAGAACTTGGACTCTTACATCTAGTATTGTTTTATACTATGTTGCTCTACCAAATAATTGTTCAATGGTTTCATTTTTTTATCTTTTTAGTTATATTTTATGCCCTTTACCTGTAAGGGTATACCAATCTACACCATAATTGTCTGTATACTATCTCATTTATTTATTAGTATATTCTCATTTACTAGTGATTTCATGATTGATTTCTTTTTTTTTTTGCATTTATATTATTCTCTTAAGAGCTTATTATAAATCAGTTTCATAGGCCACAAGAAATAACAGGACTATGTACAGCCTCACAGGAAACAGGCAAGGAGCAGAGGAGGGTCAAGAGGAATCCAGGGCCTTGGTGGGCACATTCCTGGGGGAGTGGGCTGATTGATTTATTTTCTTACTGCACTACCTTGCATTTCATATGACATATTCACAGTATTTGAAGCAATATTACATGTAGATTCCAAAAAGACAAGTATCATCCTCATCCTTCTAGAGTATATGTTCTCAATGTCATAGGTTTTATGTGATATTATTTTTAGTGGTGCCATATTTGATTTAAAATAATTGCTGACTTTACCTTTTCTAAGTTTTCAGTAGACTTCCAGAACTTTGGTTACAGAGTCCTTCATAAAATTGACCTGAAATTTGGCTAAATATGATACACTGGTTATCCTACATAATGCTATGATTTTGTTTAAAATCCAGCTGAGTAACTTACTTGACAGCCCAGTAAAGGGTAATTATTTCCTAATCACTTAATGTCTGACAGGAATACCTCCATCCTCTTATTCTATTTGCAGAAAAATGAGAGAGTTTAGAAACAATATCAAGATGTAACTCATCTGAAGAGACTGAAATAGATGTGGAGTTCAGAGAATGGGTCTTACTTGTGGAAGATGAAAACAGAGGAGAAAAGCTGATCAATGAAAAGAGAATGCATGTGAGTGAAAGGAGCATGTCTAAGGGGGAATTAGACCTTGTGGCAAAAAAGGAGAAATATTTTACTATGTACTTTAGAATATGGGAAGATGACCTTTAATATTCTAAAACACTCAAACTTGGTAGGTAGTTGAATAGCACAGCAAATATTCTCAATTTTAATTCTAAGTTTTTAGTAAATTGATAATGCATTTTAATCAAAATGTGAGATTATCTTTGATATTGTTAAAAGAGAACGAAACCATTAGCTAGACAAAGCCTGTGTAGTTTGATTAAACTGCACCCCACGCTTATTAATATTTTGTGGAATTTAAACTTTCAATATTTGAATAATTAGATAAATTATTTTGAGTTTATGGTTAAAACTTTATGCTTATAAGGTATTTGCTAAGTAATTTAAAGTGATTTGTGTATTTAAGTTTTATACCTGATACCTTAGCATACCTCCTGTCAATTTATTCAGTTATGCTTTGAAGAAAGTAAACAGCTAAACTTTGTAATCAGATGTGCTACATACCGTAAATACTAGTTTTACTCAGGTAAATGAAATATATATACACAGATGATTCTAGAAAAAAGACACTAAGATATTTCTTTTTTATCTCTAAAGTTTTTTTTATAATTTATATATCCTTTTATTGGTACATTTTAGGTATACAATATAATGACATTCATCGTTGGAAATTTGGACCTTTACATAATCTCTCTTGGTTCTTATTTTTTCACCCTTCCCCTGCCCTTCCTTCAACCCCTCCATCCCTCCCTATTTACAGAGACTTTGTTTCCATTTTTCCATTTTCTCATATTAATTCCATTCCCTTCTTTCCTTCCCCCTACCCCTCCCACTTCCCCTTCCCTTTTGCCCCTTTTCTTCCTATTTCACATTATCTATTATACCTTTTAGTCCTTATTTACACTTTCAGTTTC